TTGTAGGTTTCTTGTCTATAAATATTCGAAGTAATGGAGTGTACAACCCCCAAAATTATGTAGTAATGGAGTGTACAAGTATCAAGTTATATGTGGGATTATATGATACGTTAGCTTATATATAGAAAAATATCTAGTTACTTTGTAGGATAAGTACAAGGTAATACTATCATATGTGTAATTGGTAACAATCATCTGTGGAATATTAATTATCTTGGGAAGCTAAATGATCATTTCAATTATCGGAATTTTCTGGTAATTTATGACCACCTACATGGGAGGATGATAGAAATCATGATGATGTATAACTATATTATATGAAAAAAACCTCATAAGGGACAAATGATGATACTATATTGAATGTTGACTGATAAATAACAATGTATTAGTGTCTATATTAGAAATTGGGGAAATTAATATTCATGTAACTCCGATCAATTGGATTAGTAATGGGTTATTTGATTATAAGGTTTGTGAGAAAAATAGGGATATGCTCCACAAGGATTACTTGTTGTGGGGTAGATTTATAACTTAAGAAAGAAAAATAATTGGATATGAATATTCATATATGTTTATGTCAATCAGGTTGAAAGATAAGAACAAATTTCGACAAAGAAATATAACTTGGTTGTCATTCTTGACCTACATTAAAAGAAGCATGCATCGATTTAAAGAAAAGGAAAAGAGTTATAAGGAATGGAATGAGGCTATGGAAATTAAAGAATAAGAAAAGAGTAAATAACAATAGTGTTGTAATTTATTGAGATTGGGAAATTAGCATACGAAATTTTAGTGGTATAATGATATGTGAAAGGTCTACATGATAAATTTGATGATTATTATTTTTTGATTTTAAGAAAATTGCTATAATTAAATGTTTGGGGTTATACGATAAGATGGTAAGTATGTGACAATGTTACATAATTATAACATGATATGATGGATAGCAATAAATGAATGCTATGCATGTCCCGTGGCTAAATAATGTGATGATATATCTGGATTACGAATGTAATTAATCCTTCTATGACCACTGTTGGGATTATTTAGTTATATTATACTTGATTAGGAGGCATCAAATTATATTGTAAATTCGAGATAAGGTTGATGAAATTTTGGTGATGCAATTGTGGTTATTTATTTTTCGATTAGATTTTTGGATCTCATTAATAAAGTATTCCATTCTTATAGAAAATTATTTGCTATGGAATATATAGATGACATGTTGGACAGTCCAAAGTCTAAGACAATCACTTACTCTGTGGAATTGTATCTTTAGGTTACATTATCTCAATGAAGAGTCTATATGTGAACACAAGAAAGCTTATGCATTGATAATAGGACAATGGCCTCTTTGTGGAATAAAAAGTATAGAATTTTTATGAATTAAAATACTATTATTTGTTTTTTTTTTATAAAATGGCTTCTTTAGAAAGTCTCATTGTTTGACTAATAGAATGGGAAGAGCACCACAATTCGTATGGGATAAGGAATGTAAAAAAAATAAATTAAGGAATGTATAAGGAATTTGTTTTTTCAAGAGCTCGAAACTGAACGATAATGATTTATATAAGGTCCTAGAAAGTGTTCTGGAGTAGAATGGTAAAATTATAAATGCTCATAGATAGTTGAAGAGACGTGATTAAAACACGTGATATAGAGTTGGCTATAATTGTATATACATTTAGGATTTCTGTTGTTACCAAATGGTTAGGAACATCAATACTTACCTATCACAGAAGTTCGAGGTATGTATTTTTATCTGAAAGAGTTGAACTTGAAGTTGTGTAAAATTATCATTAGGTGATATAGAATTAAAGGAAGAGGAAGTCACATTGAGATGTATCAATTGTTGTTGGGTGTAACTAAAATTTTAGAAAATAATGAAACAACTGATGGCTTGATCTCTTTACCATTTTCAAGCCGTTTTCTGTTTTCGATTTTTCAAAAACAGTGAAAACGCGTTCTCTTTCCTATTTTAAAAAACGCATTTTTGAAAACAAGTTAAAAATTTACAAAGAAAACCAAAAACAACAAATTTGTCGTTTTTGGTGTTTTCAGTTATAATCTAGCCAAAATTTTCAAAAACGCATTTTGGGTGTTTTCAAAACAATTTTTCAAAATGTCAAAAAGAACACATTTTTAATAATCTCAAAAATGGACACTCAAAATACAAAACCCAAAATGACTTCAAAACTCAAAACACAAATTGAAACACAAAGAGAACAACCCTTGAACTTTTGCGATGTTGCCAATTTTAGAGTGGAAATAATTACCCTGAATTTTTTTAATTGCCGTTCCAAGTACTTCTGAACAGTCACAAAATGGTATAGGAATCATGGTTGACACATCGATAAAGGCTACAAGATTCTTGCCAAAATTACACGTCAATTCACGAGACAAATCTCTAAAGCTATACACATATAAGATAGTTATTTATATGGAGTTCAAGTATCTAACTTTGGCTTCGTTTGTAGGGAACTAAATTACATTTGTACAGTGTTTTTAATAGAGTGCTAGAGACTATGAAGACGAGTTTAGAAGATATGATGTCAATGTATGGTTTGCTATTTAAAGGGGGATAATCATTTCTCTTTCATGGAGCTGGCATATAAGAACTATATATCATATTGGAATATTTCAAGGACTTATTTATTTAGGGGTGACCTCCGTTCCACTAGCAGCGGCATCTTTCGAAATCGAATATGAAAGTGCAATATGAATTGATGTGGAGTAGTGAAAGGAATAATCTGAATATGAAATAAATTGGGTAGGGAGAGAAAGAAAGTGGCGGTGAAATGGCTTACAGTGAAATGAATGGTCTTTTGGTGGCGTTGGTAAGGTAAATGTATTTGATTTTTTAAATTTTATTTATTTTTTTCTTTAAAACAAAATTTTGTCAATTAGGACGTGTTATTGTACAGCCACCTAGACTGCTACTCAACATTAATGGTGTTATATAGCATTACTCAATTTTTAAAAAAGTTTCTTATTCCAAAAATGATTTTAGATGAAATCACATTGGACTAGATTTCTCCATAAGCACTTCTAACTAAAAGAAATAATGTTATAAAATTAATTCAATGGGTCCAAAAATAATTTTTGGATCTCAAATTATTATTTTTATTTATCCCTTTTGATAATGTTGGTACCCTCCTTGATCACCACATCAACTCTATTCTTAGCATTTACCACTGACTTGCTTTTAGTCTACAAGGTAGCCAAATCTAGTGCTAGAAGACATTTGAGAAATCAGTCGAACTTTGCAAGGTTGATCTCTAAGGCTCACTTGATATCCACTTTTTGGTCATAGCAATAGTAGACTTCATGGGCCTTCTGAAAATAATGGGCAGCCCAAAGCCCAGTGCAGGCAGATAGGTTGGGTCAACGTGTGGCGCTCCACACTGTCCGTATGAAAAATGATAAATACAAAAAATAGAAGTGAATCAAATAGACAATATGAACAAGCTTAGAAATGATATCTAACATTGGATGAACCTAACACTATTCCTCAATGACAAGGGTCCACGAGGAGTAGAGTGCATATGATACCTACTGTTCATATTATGTGTTAGTCCTCGTTTGAACTAAGTGGCATGATCGACCGAGTGTATCGGTGGTGGTAGTCTTAGTCCCACTCAAAAGTCCTAGGGCAATAGCCACCATATATGCTAATATAAGGCTCGTTACGACAACTTGTGTTTCTAGCATAGATAAGTAAACATGTTTGAATATTCTTGTAACAAACACAATGTATGGGCAACCTGTCCCCATTTTGCGTCTTCTTTTCAAGAACATATAAAGATGCATATTTGTGCACACTAGAAAGTTGTGATGCCAAGTAAACCATTTAGGAAAAAGATATATGTATAGAAGAAAACTTGCCAGATGTTTTACAGGTTCTGCCGTGGCAGCTCCTGGTTGATTACTTTTTTTTTCCCTCTGTCAAACGAAAAATTGCCAACTATGTCTGTAAATAATCGGACAGTGCTTTATTCTGTACATGTAGACGTAGTATTGTCCAACAATTTGAGCCTTTGTAAGGCACAAAGTCACAAATCATTTTCACAACGATACAATATAAATATTTAGTGTTGACTCGTCATGGATTGAGCGAGGAAAACATGTATAAAAGAGTGAAATAATAATTGAGTCCATATATGCTATCTCCGTGAAGCTGCTCCACTAAAATTTGGAGGTGTCGAAATTTTAGAAATGACACCTTATAATTGCAATGAGGTATCAAAAATTTAGTTTATAAGACAATTAAAAAGATAACGATGTTATCTAGTACAATTAGATTTAAAATACCACCCAACGTGACATGTAGATGGACATTAAATGATAATTCCATTTAAGGGGAAGGGTTTAAGAGAATTAATTGACTTTAATCAGTAAATTTCCTCGGAACAAAATCAAGAAATATTAATAATTTGACTTCATACTAGGATGGTCTGAAATCATAGCACGTCAAAACGCCAAAGCAACCTGTTGACACACAAAACAGGCAGC